TTTAATCCAAGTATGGAAAATGTAATATTTTCGGCTAATTCTTCTTCATGATATCAATACCTAAGTAAAAGTGCTTGAAACGTTCAACATGAGGTCTCAAAAAACAATTATCCTTAATTTGAAAATTCCTATGGTAAGCTAAATAGGTATAAAAGTAAAGGCGTTAACAAAGTTAACTATTTACACGTTTCTGTAAAGAAAAATGCGAGACTGACGGGTAAAAAATAAACATGACTAAGAAACAACTTTCTTTATCTTTCGACAGACTTGGTGGCGAATGATTCAGTCACATTTCTGATACAGTTATAAATAACTACGGTATTTCTGATAACATCACTTACATTTCGACCGAGTTGTTATCGACGTTTTTTTTTTTAATAATACATGATATGGAAAATATGGATGGCTGGAGTCATTACAAAGATTGCGACAAAATATGAGTAACTGATGAATTTTTAATTTATCTTCATTTAGCAGTCACATTGTGTCAAAATATCATCAAAGCGGTGCTTTCCAAGTTGTAGAGGGACTAAAGAGTAAGGGCCGTATCGTCAGTCGTTGATACAATTGTAGGACGCCTTTATGGCCTCCTTGATTTTCATAGTTTTCAACTGTTCCGTGTCAGCGCTCTGTTTTGAGGTTATGTTACAAATATCTATTCGCAATTGTTCATGCTTTTTTGGGTGGCGCATCAAAAACGAAACAGACGCATTTGGTGGCAGCTCTGTTTTTTTTTGGAAAAAACGCTCAGACCCGTCGATTTTGTTTTCGAGGGGAACACAAGTTTGGCAAAAAGTCACGTTAACACGTGCAGCCTCCTAAGCGCGGGTGACACCACCCCCAAAATGTTAAATAGAAAGGGGGGTAGAGTGATACCTTATTTTAAAGGCCTTTCAATTCCCTTTATAATGATATAAAATTAATGTACTTCAGTTCAGTAGTTTTGAAGATTTATTGATTTAAAGCTTAAAGCAGACTTTTTTTTGGCCTTAGGCGTTCTAGCCTATTCGGACACGAGAATGTATATATGTATAGGTCATGTTCAAGACTTCTTTATTTTTATTTTGCAAGTTAGCGGAAATACTACCGTACAATTTTTGATCTATTATCCCCGCTTCCCCATCTCTATTCTTCAATTACTACCAATTTGTTCAGTATCAAAGACAGCAAACAACTAACAGCTTTTCGTCCTTGGCATAGTAGTAACCTTCTTTGAAAATTTCATTAAAATCTGTGACAGGACAAGGTTTAGCGGACAGACAGACGGATGGAAATTCATTACATAGTTTTTCGTGATGTACATGTCATATGTCGTGACATCCAAAAAACATAATACTTCATTTTCGAAGTTTTTCGCGATCATGAAAAAAAAAAATCAAAACTAAATTAGTATGTTGTTGATAATATATCAGCAGTTCCTCATGCGACTAATGCGATGACACTTTTAATACTGAGGCTACACAGATTTACTACATTTGTATAACAAACCAATTGCACCGTGATTTTAAATAACTTCACCAACAACCAACAAACTAATTTACTTTTGGATTCTTTTAGTTGGTGCGTGCGGCCAATAGAGTAAGCTTTTCCCTCTGATCGCAGATTAACTCGATCTTTTTGATACCTTTTTCAGCAGGTTGAATTTGAACATCGCTTAATTATTTTTTAGACAAATTAGTCCTTTTAATAAAAAAACAACTATGTCCTAAAACCGCGGCGAAAAAAAATACCTGAGGTAAAGTTAAATGTATGTTCAAAATACTCAAATTTTATTGAACATATGTCCTTCGTAAAGGTGTGGGTCTCCAGCTGTTGAAAATGTACCCGTATTTCCCTAATTCAATCGCGAATCCATAATGCATGCAAGAAATCGTTGACATATCTTCAACCGTGCGCGTGTTTTCCAGATATACAAAGTTTGTTTATTCCTGGCATTAGCTTCCAAATTGACGAATTGAAATTGAATTGGAAAATACAGATTAGATCTTTCCAACTAAGCGAGGACAACATGGAGATGGAACAGGAAATGAATTAATATATATGTACATTATTTATCTTTCAAATGAGTAATACCGTTGTAGTATGTACCCGATAGCTCTTGATTAGTCGGAAGAACTGACATAGCTGCTAAGTTAATCTAATATACCTTTCATATTTTTCATGAAAGCAGTTAAACAAGTTTGACAACCGACGGATGTTATAACCAAACCGTTATTATGCCTGAGAGCATATCAGTCTTAATTCTGAACATTCGCTGTGGTCCCTGTGCTCTTTACATTATGACAAATCACACATTTCACAGTTGTTTTCATCGAAAACAAAACACATGTATGTCTTCGAAGTCCCGGTGTCACATTACCGCGTCTCTAAAAATATCTTATCAAAGCGGGAGGTAAGACATTATACAGAAGCAACAAAATGAACGCTACGATTTCTGACCACTCAATATTTCTCTCATTAGGAACATCATAGAAATGAGATTCGCCATAAATATACACAAGCTGTTTGGTATTTGGTTGGAAAACATCTTTCATTATAATTGACATACTTATACATATGCTTTGGGAGAAACATTCTGGAAAATAACGAAATTAATCACTGTCTATTTATCGGATTACACAAAAAACATGAAAAATGCGTTTGCATATGGACTCCAAAAATAAATAGTTCGTGCTGGGTGCGTGGCTTCATGCAAAATTATCGCAACTTAAAATGTAATGCTGATATACGTCGTAATTGACGGGTTTTCCTCTTCATCCCACAACGTCAACGCGGGTGTTCCCCAGGGATCGATCTTGAGGAGGCTTTCCCAGTTCTACCAACCTTGGGCAGTTCAAAAATCGGATTAGCAAAGTTTTTTTAAGCTCCTCATAGCAGCTGTGGTGCCGTGGCATTTAGGCTTCTTCCTTCGCTACTTCGGTGTGAAAAAAAGAACCTACACCTTTGTGTGTGTAACTCACACGTTATCGATTTCGCCTTAACCTTCGTTCTGTACTGTGAATATGATACACTAGAAATGTCGTTGAAATTGTATCCTTAGGACTGCAAACATCAAAAAGAGAAGAACTGGAGTTATACCATTTTTGCTTTTGTTTATAATAATCAGGATTGAAGGTTGAAATCCGTCTGCCTGTTAGTCTGTCAGTTTATCTTTCCATCCCACCTTATCTCTGTAATCGTTGGAATGTTTAGAAAATATGATTTATGATACAGTTTTGGAAGCAATATGTTGTGCGGCAATAGTAGATAATGACCGAAATCTTGCAGATGCGGCGCAGTAATTAGCAAAAAATAGAATTTATTCTCAAACTTTTTTTTTTTAGTTTTTGAAAAGTAGCATATGACTTTTTTATTTTGTTCTTATTTCAGTCTCGTCAGTGGCACAGACATCTATAACACGCTTTTTATGTTATTTTCGGATGTATTTTCTTCTGCAGAAGTGGTGCCATTGTTTTGTAATCCCCCTGTATATTTGAATGATGATTATTCTTTGGAGCAAATTTATACCTATTTATAAGACTTATACTGATGCAGTTGCAATCCAAATATTGTATATAAACCATAGAAGCACATTAGTATATCGTTAAAAACGTACGTACCGTACAATGTTTAGATTAGATATAGAGCAAATAATCCTAATCCAAATATGTTTATCTCACTAATCGTAGGAATAACAAAGTAATCCCTAACTATGTCAGATATGATGTAATCATGAAAATAAATTTAAAATCCACACCTTTATACATGGGTAAGTGTATTTTGAAAACGGTTTACCAAAATTCACACAAGAATTGAATTAAACGGAAAACAGTTATTCTTCTTTAGAATGTTATTTTTTCACTGAATCATAAAGTACACAGGATGGGTGTGATCATCGAAACGAGAGAGTATACAACCAGAACATGCTTCGTGCAGCAATTTTGAATTGATTCAGGGAATGAATGGTTTGTAGCGCTACCTTGTTAAAACCACACGTTCTCCACATCAATATGGATCGACCTTAGGCAGAGAGAAGCCCATAGACAGGCCAATTTCGATCACCAAAACGAAGGAGTACACCATCAGGGAATGTCTCATGCACTAATTGAATTGTTTCACGAGAAATATGGCAAAAAGAAACCCACAGACACTACATGTGCTGTATCACTCGTAAACAAGGGCGTCCCCGGGGAGGGGGGGGGGGGAGGTGGTTGTGGCAACTGCCCCCCTTTTCCATATCTCGGCAAAAATTAAATGTTGAGAACACAAGCTGAATCAAGTCGAACTACAGCGACTGTTTATTCAAAAATTTTACTCAACATAAAAGATTGGGTATATGCTAAAGCTCATGGGAAGAATAGAACACGTTCTATATCATTCACCTTCTGGATTCTAGGCGATATTCTAAATACATTTCATGTATGCCATTCAAAGACTTGCCGTTTTTGAGATATGCCCAATTTTGCGTACGAAATAACAAACGCAGGCCAATGGATTGTAACAAATATTTTCTTTTACTGTATGATTTGAACCGGGTTTTTTTACAATGGGTAATCTACTTTAGTAGATTTTATTCTGGAGTCGGAAATTTGAATAACAAATAAGTACAGTGTGGTCAAAAAAGGAGAATGAAAATTAGATATTAAAAAACTCAAAATTTAAAATTTTTGAAACCGAAATTACCATTTACTATAATGTCATGGCCAACTGAGGTTATCTTATGGTAAAAGCCGTATGGAGTATTTGAGCAAGAGAAAAATAAATACCGTATCTTGAAAGATATTAATTTGCGAAGTAGACAACCTTATACAAAATTAACCTTAAAGTTTTGGTATGGACTTTCGGTACAAGAGGAAGCGCCATCAGTTCTACCTGGGACACCCTGTATAACTTATCATAACCATGGGTGAATAAAACAATTGGATATTACAATTGATTTCGTACAAACACGTAAGTAAGTAAAAGAACGTATATAAGACTGCATGGAATATTAATTGGATGACATGGAACGAATGACTCACCATTTGCATTTTCGTGGATCGTCGGTGATACGGCGTCCTTTTCCTTCTTCGTTTCTTTGCCATTGTTTCCTGGAACAAAACAGGAAACTACAACTGGTTTAGCTAGCAGATACTATTTAAAGAACGAAGCAAATATTTAACGTGGCGCGTTTATTGTTGTGTGTGCGTGCTGTGTAAAGAATTGTTTAGTAGGTAGCTGCACCTAAGGGATACTTCAGATGTTTTCAAATTAAATATATAAGGTGTGAAGTTATGATAATGAGGAAGGCCTCTGGACGAAGCATCGTGAATTTTTCTTCCATAGGCGGAGGCATGAAAGAACTCGCCACCTATCCCAGGTAGCCCAAGAGCGTGAAAATAACGTTACAGACTGGTCATGGAATGACGAGAAAGCACGAAATGCATGACAAAAAAATGTGAAATGTCACATACCGATGACGTCATATGGCAGACGTCGATAATACGTCACTTGCTGGACGTGAAGATAACGTCTATTATTTATAATCTATAACACGCATGGTACTAAACAACATGCTAGAGATATAAGTCGCGTTAGCCTGAAATGGCCATTTTTTTATTTCAGTACGTGGAAGTTGGAGCAACGAGACGCGGACCTATTTCAGCTATCTGTGATTGTTGTTCACTCATTAGTTACAGCGTTGCCAGATTAAATATAAAAACATTTTCAAGAATACGTAACACATTGAATATCTAAAATGTAATATGTATTTTTTTGTTTTGTATGTTCTGTATAAATGTTGTATCCAATAACGTCATTTTCATTTTGCAATCACACTTATTCTTAAAAAATCATTAAATATTATATGAATGCTAGAAATATAGAAGAAAAATGGACAATTATACGCCGGTAACGTTATTTCAGACGTCGATTGGGGATGGAATTAGATAATTGATTTTGAATAGGAAACATTGATTTTAAACTGACAAAAACATCGTATATGTAAAAAAAATATATTATGCAAACTAGATAACCTCAAAAACACGCCATAACAACGTCCTACAGTAACCGTACACAACCTGACATTTAGTAAACGTCATTACGACGTCGATATGATGAACAAGTTGATGAGCCATTATGACGTGCTTGTGCTAGCTGGGTACCACCCTACAGTGCATCAGAACGTTGACAATGAACTACGACACCTCCAAGTTGTGGAAAAGTAGTAGCGAAAGTATAACTCTGATTCTGATAGGTGTGCAACATATTCATCTCAGTTTTGAAACTTGGTACAAGCCATCATGACGGAACCACTAGTAAGCTGGGCAGGAATAATAAAATAACTAGAAATAAACGATAATTTGGCATTGACAGTAGTGGCCAGACGATGACCTGAATGCAAGTTTTGGACAAATATATCGTTAATGTTGGGGCATTGTCGTTAATGCTCAATACCGCCGATCAAGAAGGGTTGGAAATGTTGATATGAAACAAACAACTTGACTCTATTACACTATTAGCAGTGAAAATAAACTAGAAAAAAAAGAGAACAATATGAGTATTATAAAAACCTGGAACATGAAAGTTGACATGTAAAAAAAGTTTCATGTATTACTTTCCACTGTATTTTATTTCCGCCGTGTTTTTCTCTAGAATCCACAAATTTTCGGGGCAGCTCTATGTACAGTTAATGGAACCACCACTCAAATTTAGCCACACTTCGCCTTCTTATACTTTGCGCCGGATTTTATTATTATAACCCATTTGGTTAAAAAAAAACAAAAAAACTTGTAAGCAAATGTATGTACTTGTATGTTATTGAACGCGCCCGCCTGTGAATGTCCTAGTGAATCATTTGTTTTCAACAATTTTTCCATGCTATCCTTATACGAAGTTAAATATTTACGTTTTACGTATTGCCTACTAGACTACTACTTTTTCTGTGAAAAAAGAAACCAAATGTTTTCAAATTTAATCAATAACAGTTTCATTACTGCTAGCACCATCTGTACGAGTGAAAGTTAAACACCGGCGGCCTGCGGCAACTGCGGCTCGCCGAACAGGACACGAAAGGAAGTCTTATCCTGCATTTAAACATAGTTAGGCATGTACGTTAGAGATGGCTGGTAGAAGAAATAGCTTGTGACAAATGGAGAGTACCTGCTTCATAAAAATTAATAGACCAGGACTAGTCTATGTCGCATAATACTTGAAATTTATGTTTCCAAGAAGAAAATTTGCAATTTTGAAAATAAGAATTAATGTCAAACAATAGAACTATAACGCGATCGCGAAAGTGGTTTGATTAGAACGAGATCAGGTAATTCCTTTGTTCAGCAAAATCATTTTCATAGTGATGTATATATTATAATTGTGTTGAATACTAAGATATTATGTGGCAGATTTCCGTGGAGATTTGCTTAAATAAATCTTCTATACAGCGGCCTTACAACAGGAAGAAACACAATGACTTTAAACCACAAAAGTAGCATAGTCGGTACATCAATTTTTATTACGGTGACCTTTGCCTTCATGGAGCCTAGATACCAGGAGAAACTAGGGCAACGCTGTTCCTGCTGTAAAAACTATCCCGAAACTTGACGCTTGGAGTACCCAGCACCAGTGGTGCTTTGACAGGGTTGACTTGTTGGGGGATTTTTACTTGAGGAATTTTTGGGGGGTATAATGCTTTAGGGGATATTACACTTTTCGCGGATAGAAAGCACTTTGAACCAAACCTACCCCTTTGAATTAATTGTGATTTGAGTTTTTTTTAAAACCGGCCTATCTGGCAACGCTGAGCTATGACAGATCCGCCACATGAACACTTTCCTTAGTCTAAGGGCCGTATCGTCAGTCGTACCTACAATTGTAGGATGCCTTTATGGCCTCCTTGATTTCATAGTTTTCTACTCTTCCGTGTCAGCGCTCTATTTTGAGGTTATGTCACAAATATCTATTTGCTTCAAACTGTTCGTACTTTTGATTAATATCATCTGTTATATAGCCTGCAATTTCCTACAATTTAAGAAGAAAACATAGCCTGACAATAGCAGAGCGCTGACGCTAATACGGAACAGTAGAAATCTAGAAATATCCCAGCACTTCTGCAGGAAAGGAAAGACTATGAAAATCAAGGAGGCCATACAGGCGTCCTATAATTATTAGGAACGTCTGATGACAGATATCTGCGTTTTTATAAAACTTGATTTTTACGAATGATAAATAAATAATATAAATATACGAGGCTTGTTCAATAAGTACCCGTGTTTGACGACAGAGGGCGTTCCTGAGGGAAGTTGGTGTCATCATCGTGATCTGCCATCTATCAAACAACAGCACAACAAATTTCAGACTGATTTATAGGTTAGTTTGGATTTGGCAGCCATTCGAGAAACACGTGTATCGTTATTTTCGCTAAGATAGAAGAAGAGCAGTATCGTTCGGTAATTCGCTTTTTGTTTTTGAACGGGGAAAACTGCGAGGAGATAAAAGCAAAGTTGGATGCTGTTTATGGGGACACTTCGCCATCTATGACCGCAGTTAGATATTGGCTCTACGAATTTAAACGTGGGCGAACATCCGTTTTTGATGAGGAGCGACCAGGACGTCCGCCAGACGTGGTTACCGAGGAAATCATTCAAAAAGTCCACGACATGATTCTCGCTCATCGACGAACGAAAGTGAACGAAGTAGCAGACGCCGTAGGTGTGTCGACCGGAACGGCAATGAATACTCGTATTTTATATGATAAGTTAGAGATGAAAAATTGTCGGCCCGATTGGTGGCGCGATTGCTCACGGTGGAAAAGCGGATGCGGCTGTTAACTTCGAAGCACTGTTTGGAGCAGTTTAAGCGAAATCCGAAGGAGTTTTTGCAACGAGTTGTCACCGTTGACGAAACCTGGAATCATCAGTACACACCAGAAACTAAGCAACAATCAAAACAATGGATTTCTCCCTGTGAATCGGCTCCAAAAAAGGCGAAGACGGTCCCATCGGCCGGAAAGGTCATGGCGACGATTTTTTGGGATGCGAACGGTGTCATTTACATGGATTTTTTAGAAAAAAGGAAGAACAATCACTGGACGACAATATTACAATGAGTTATTGGACCGCGAAAAGAAGGTGCTGTTTCACTACGATAACGCACCAGCACATTAATCCGAAGTTGTCGCCGCCAAACTGCATGAATTGCGTTATGAAGTGCTGCCACATCCTCCATATTCACCCGATCTGGCCCATGCGAAATGGCTCGCGGGAAAAAACTTGGCTCAAACGAGAAAGCCATCGCCGAGACAGAGGCGTATTTTGGAGTTCTACAAATCCTATTTTTTGTAGGAGTTGAAAAAATGGCAGGAACGTTGAGAAAAGCAAAAGGGACTATGTTGAGAAACAAAAAAAAAATTTTTTTTGGGAAAAAAGATGTCTTCATTTCTAACACGGCTACTTACTGAACCGTCTTCGTATATAAATGCAGACTCAAGGAGCCGGGTCTCGTACTAAACCCTTGCTTCGATCACTGCCATATGGGGCCATATTTTTTTCCATTTCCCCGGTTCTCCTGGTATATGTATAGGCTCAATCTATGTCTTTACGTATTTCGGGAGTCGTAAAGGTAAGAGAACAGGTCCGAATTTTTCCAGGTAAGATAATTTTGAAAAAAGGTCAAGAGCTCTACACTAACCATGAACAAGGAGTCCGAATATGTTGTAATCTTAGACCAAGGTCACCTCTAAAGGTCATCCTTTATCATTATTCAACCTTGAAGCTCACCTTCAAAGTCATTTCAAGATCAATTTGTTTTAACCGAGAATCTCGTCTTTACACTGACAATGCAGAATGTTACAGTTCAAATACGTTCGTATGTACTTCTATGAGCTTGAAACTAATGCTCAAGGTCATTTTTGAAATCCTTGGTAAAAGTTACTAAATGTGACCTTGATTTTTTTTAAACTAGTAATATAGCTTTCGTTCGCCCGACCAAACACGGCCAACCATGGACAGCTGTTTCGTGCTTTTGGGCAACACTTCAGCATGGAATAAGCTTGATCTCATGTAGAACAACGAACGAAAGTTGAGCAACTCTGTTCTATTTAGAGTATCAGGTTTATCAGAATAAGTCAGCACAATGTGTGTTCGCATTGTCAACCAGGTCAGCGCCGTGGCTGCTAGATGCCGCGCGATTCTGGTTCTATAGTATAGCCGGCCACAGATTGTTCATCAATAATTCTGCTGATCTTTTAGGAATTTTCATTAGCCTCATTTATTTGACTTTTCTTTGACCTTTAGAGATGACCTTGAACTTCGATTTTAACACATTGACTTTTCTGTTTTCGATTGTTCAAAGTGACTGAAGACCTGACCTTGATCTTACCCGTATAATACAGAGCCGTTTCGTTACTTCACGGATACAGTATTGAAATGCCATATCTGCCACTTAATACTTTGTAGTACACATAATGGATTGTGGGAACACTTACCTTTTTTAATAAGCAAGCTTGTTACCCGTCTTAAAGCGTCTCTAGGGGATCTTTGGAAGAACTTGGGGGTGAGATTAGGAGGTAACGTAAGAGGTTTCCTACTGGACTCCCATGGAGTGCGATTGGCAGATGTCCTGTCTAAGTGCTCAATCGATGCAGGCCTATAAAAACACAAATATGTCATTACATTTAATTTATAGTGTGGATGTAGGCTATGTTTTTTTAAAACAAACTAATGGTTTTTAATAGTTAGTTTTTGACAATTAGTACATCCTATCTTTGTTAGGTGTACGTAGTTTGTATAAGACATAAGTTTACTTGATAGTACTAAGTGCATGGGTATTTTAATTGAATTCATATATTACCTCCTTTGTCTTTGTTTGGGATACCAGCCCCTGCCAGGTCCACCGGCCAAGCGTAGGAGTTCAGCTCCAACAATCGCCTGCTCCAGACCACTTTGTGATGTACCTCGTCGATAACCTGATGTGGACAAGTTGCTCACAGTATTTAGGCTACCTGCAAATGGATAAAAAATATGAGTTGCAGAACAGTCACCAAATAAAAAAAATTCTGAAAATGCTGTCTAACACAGCTTGTACAGTAATAGTCTCTACTAGCTCAGCTCAACATTGTCAAAATTGTTCTTGACCATATGAATGCTGTGCACACTTCGAATGTAGAAGTTTGTTCTTACCTATGGTATTGCTTTGCCTGGGTGCCGTTTGACTACCCCCACCTGGAACGTCAGGTGCCTTCCGATGAGGTGTCCTCGGCACATCACAGCCTCTTGCGAATATTGGTGTTTCTGGTAAGCTGCATGAAGTCTGAAGACCATGAGCAGGCAACGGAGGGGGCATCTGAAACACAATATTTTATAAGAAAATTATGTTTGTCACCATGGAAAATACCTTGGACAAAAAATGAGTATTTTGGAAGGAAGAATTATTAAAAAAATGATCAGTTTTCAGTCTTGCTATAGCGCTATGTTGCTGGAAATTGACTACTGAAAAGCAGGGGCGGTTGCTTAACTTTAGATGTGCTTCTAAAAGTGACTGCCGGTGAAGGAAAAAATAAATAGCGGGGAGGGGCTGCTCCCAGCTCTCACTATAACCAAATTGTTCGACTTGATTTTTTGACTCATCGAAACACTTTATCGATTTGAGCGTCTGGCGGGGGCTCACTGAATTGGGAAACATTCTAAAATAATAAGAAAATGAATATTTCAGGGAAAAAATTAGAAAATGAATCCGTTCAAAATATGTCACCTGAGAAGGACATGACAAAAAAAAAACAGACGGTGTGAAGTACTTCTGTGTCTTAACAGATATGCAAGATTTATTATCCAACAAAGTAATAGCTAATGGCCTATAGAAACTTTAACATATCTGGAAGTCGTCATAAAAATTGTAAACAGAGAAACGTCATCCGTATGTCACTCGTAAACTAGCTTTGTCTTCTATAAATATTTCTAAAAATCTAGTCAACAGTTAAAGTTTTCTCGTTTTATTAAAAAAAACAATCATGGACGTTGGAATCGTAAAATCAGAAAATACAAATTTGCCAAAAATTTTAAGCGATCTACTGACTTTTTCATTTCAAGTGACATGGCTTGTAACAGCTGTCAAATGATGACGTCACGAACTGCACCTTCGTGACGTCACCGTTTATGACAGTTAAGACCAATAATAACCTTGCTCAGGTGGTGGTTTCTATGCGGATCTTTATCGATGTGTTTTTACATTATCAGGCCATACAATAACGTGTAAACTAGTAGAAGTCATATGCATATATTTAAAGGAAAAAACACTCAACTGAAACGACAATACAAATGGTTCTAGAGGACTGAAGGAGAAGTATCGACAATAGGAAACATACAGTGACAGTGTTTTTGGACTTCAAAAGAGGGCGTATGGAACTATTGACAGAGATAAAGTACTTACAAATTTGTATCACTATGGATTTAAAGGATCTCTATTCAAAATTCTACAAAACTACTTAATTGACAGAAGTCAAAAAACAAAAATTGGATGAACATCATCAAGCTCAAAAAATATTTTGATTAGTGTACCACAAGGTACTAAACTAGGCCCACTACCATTTATTTTATATATTAATGACATTTGTGATATTTTAGATATTTGTAAAATTCAGTTATTTGCGGATGATACATTAATATACATATCAGATGAAAATATAGACACTGCTTTAAAAATGGTAAATTCTGGCAAAAATCATAAATTGGTTAAATGTAAATAAACTAAAATTGAATGCTTCTAAAACCAAACTGTATGCTAATAGGGAAATACCGAAATGAAAATACTATCACAGTTAGGATAAATGGTGAAATAATTGAAAATGTTGAATCAATTAAATATTTAGGTACCTATATATATATATGTATATATATATATTGTAGGAAACTAAAGTTTTAGAATCACTATAAATACATTATTTCAAAAATTGACAAAAAACTAATTACTTTTATAGGGCTTCTCATAGTCTAAGCACGTATTCCAAAAACCTAGTTATAATAAAATTATTCTACCCCATTTACTGTATTTTAAATTATAAGTCCTGCAAAACAGAGCTATGAGAATAATATTGAATAAAAATCAGTACACCAAAATAAAATCTATGCAGTGATTGAATATAAAAAAATTGATATCATATTTGGTTCTTATTTTTATATTTAAAATAAAAAATCATCTTTTGCAACAACATTTAGAAAACTACAAAGAATTGAATAATCATTACCACAATTATTATACAAGAGTAAATATAGATTTTCATTTACAAAACTGTAATAGTCATATAACTAGCAAATCAATATTTCTGAGAGGATTACTTGAATTTAATAAACTAAATAATGATATAAAGTCAACTTGTAATTAAAAATATTCAATGGACAGTAAAAATTCATAGAGGTACAAATTTTGTTTTTCTAAATATCTGTATGTTGTATTGTAGCAATCATGCTAAATAAAGCTTATACAAACAAAGGTTATTCAGATTAAAGTTTTACGGTTTTTTAGGTCTCAAAACTACAGTAGTAATTTTCTAATAGAACAAACATTAATTATTTCAGACCCAGTTAAAAAAAGTGTCAACTAGCCTAATCCGTATTCTGAACGTTATTCTTCTGGCCAGCAGAGACCTCACTGGAGACTCTTGTTTAAGTCTCCAAAAGAAAGTTGCTTTTAATATTTGCGGAACGTATAGCTTAATCCAAACAACCATAAATATGATCATAGGTGGAACAGTTCTTTACATGTGAAACAATTTTAGTTAGTACAATAAACGTCACTTCATTTGATAGATAAAATACACTAACCTCATCTTGCGGACTGCCTGCAGCTGACCGCTGTTTAGCGAAAGGTCGTCTAGGAGCGCGATGTGGGGGAACTTCGGGGAGCGTCGTATGCCTGGAAGACGACGTAGAGGAGGCCGTACCGGAAGGACAGTAATTACGATGGCGACCTGAAATACAATATGCTATAATTAATTTACTATATATAGACTTCAAATATGGTTACAGTTGTTAACCTGCCCACTGGAATGATTACAAAAAACATACTAATCGATAGAATATAGCGTAAAAAGTAACATCAATCAATAAAAGTCGTTTTCATTAATATGCTAGTAACAAGCATATAAGTCATGGTCTCAAGTGCACTGCATCAGAGTCATAGTAATAGTAAGTAAAAATGTAAAAATAACTTAAAACAAAAAGTAAGTAGAAAACAAATGGAGGAATGTTCAAGCTACCAAAAAGTTTGATATTTAACAGGAATGTCCATGTGAACTTCAATAACTTCCTAAGCAGTCTTGACATCTATTTAAAAGCAACAGACCTAGATGGCAAGGATGGGGAAACAAAAGTAGCAATATTGTTGAGCCATGCTGCAGAGGAAGCTCAGAAGTTCATGACCTTTAAACTTAGTGGTGCTGATAAGAAGAAAGTTGTGGGAGCATTCCAAAATCACTGCAAGCTGTTGAGGAACGAAACATACGACAGGTACAAGTTTTTCACCAGAGTGCAACAGGAGGGCGACATCTTTGTTCACTACATCACGGAAAAACTCTTGCTTCACCATGTAATTTTGGGGAGCTGGAAGATTCACTAGTTCGTGATAGTAAGTGGCATCAGGAACAGTGACTCCAGGAGAGGCCACTAAGGCAATCAAATCTGTCTTTGAAAGTAGCAGAAGAACATTGCAGGGCTGTAGAAATTAGCTCCATGCAAGTGAAGAAAGGATAAGGAAGTAGACTTTGTCAGAGTTAAGAAAAAGAGTGGTCAGTGTAGTAATAATCGAAGCAGTGAAGTATATAAATGCTTAAAATGTGGTAAGATGAGTTGTCCAGCTTTTCGTAAAATGTGTAACAAATGATTTTATAATTGGCTGTAAATTTAAGAAATCAAGCCGGGTAGGAACTTCACAGTCAGGTCAGTCTAACAAGTTTAATAGGTTTGGTTATGAGAGACAAGTTGAAAGAAAGGTACATGAAATTAATAATGACCACAGTGACAGTTCTGGGGGTGATGAATCGCCTTTTATTAGCTATATTGTGCTAGATTCTATTGATAAAATCTGGAGTGTTGAGGCAATGATTATTAACTGTAACTGTATGCCTCTTAGTCTTTATTATAAATTGAAGCTGACTAAAAGCCTTGATAAATCGAGTATAACTATTGTGTCTTATGGGAACAATAAGGTTGAAGCAGCTGGTACAGCCATAATAAAACGTCTGATAAAAACAAATGTTATAATATAAAATTTTTGTTAGTTGAAGAGGCCTCGGTGCATATCTTGAGTTTAAATGCTTGTGTTAAGCTGAATCTTGTAAAAAAGTTGATTCTCTTAAATCCCAGGTTCTTGATAGACTCAAATTTCCTAATTCGTATATATATATATACTGTAACTTGCTTCTTAGCGGAAAATATTTTTACTGCATTATCTAGCAACATAAGCTAGAAATGTTTGACACTTGTTATACAATTTCGTATATTGCGGTCAGATTTTGCGGAACCATCGGAATCCTACTTCCTGCTCAAGTTTGAAAACTTTGAGAAGCGCACAGATTGTTGACGACATTGTCAACAGAGTCAAGATATGTAGACCAGTCATATGCAGCAATATGTTCATGGTGGCTCGGCTATAATAGATTTCATAGTTACAGCCACATATTGTAATAAAAATATTTCTCGTACAGAGGATCCTTAACACCATTGTTTGTCATATATATGTTAGCTGAATACAACTTCGGCTTGTCGATATTTTTGTAATGCACAATCATATTATTTGATAAATGTTTGATGAAGATTAAAAATACACATCTAGATGAAAAGTCATACTGACCTCTATTATAATTTGCATCCATTGACCGTGTCCTGAGGCTACTGTGAGGAGGTACAGCTGGAGCTTCAGGAAGTGTTCCTGCTCTTTGTTTTCTAGCATCCACCACTTCTTGATATTCGTCATCGTCCTCTTCCACAGGCGATGGTGGCAGCGGAGGTAGATCCTGAAAGGGTTTCAGTTCGGCTATTATTGAGTATAAAAAACTACTGTACCACGAAAAATGCCTGCAGTCGCTTCACAAATAAGTATGTGAGCTTCATGGAGACTACAAAAACATTTTTTGTGATATAAAAGATTTTTATTATTATAACTTTTTGTTTTTTTATATATATTATAGCTACGAATTTAACTTCTTATTTGACAAAGTAAGGAAGACATATTTTATATATTCATAACGATTATTGACTTTCAGTGTAGGTCAGGGAAGCGTTTTTTTCAGCGTATGGGAGGAATATGTATCAAGCTTTGGCGAGCTATTTGATAGGGACCTTAGTCAGTATAGTCACCACCTAGGCTTTTGGCTTAGGCTAGATCTCAAATTCATGTCTTGTGCCTAAACCCATTTTGCAGGTCGATATCATTGAGACGGTGATGTTTGATAAATTTTTAATAGAGTATTTGGTTGATGGCAGCCTACCATTATGCTTATTAATGAACTTACGTTTTTCTCGGCATGAACCTCGGCTCGTACTGCGGGAAAGTCCGCTGACGTGGAAGTGGGCATAGGAAGGTACTGTCTGGGATCCCGTTGCTGGTGTGTCAGTTTCATTTCTTTGGCGCTTTCTGATTTCTGGATGCCATTTCGTTTCGGAAACGGATTACCACCTAAGAGGAGAAATAACGACATGTGAATCATCTCAGAACAAATACACATTGTGGAAAACAGTTGTCTCCATCCAAAGGCGAATGTCAGCATTAACTGATAATTTCTACGTAATCTTATACATTATACATCAATAATTACTGACGCTCTGACTACACGGTCAATCGATTTGTATATTCCATGATATAGTAACGGACCACAGTAAATACTGATCGCGTGACAATCGCCTAAATGTTGGGCAGTGATGGGAGCATCTCCGTCAGGGCGATCCAAGGCACGCTCGTATAGTCAGTTTCGATTAGTTCATCTAATCTGTTACTTCTGACAAACCAATATCAGTAGAAAACAGGCATCAAAAAAGGAAGAAATATGCAAAGAACTAAATGAACCATGCCTTGAAAAATAATCAGACACTGTCAAATTGATGTTTTGACTAATATGGTATATATGAATATTGTTGATTTTGGTTTAATACAAATGAATCGGTCAATGCAAAAATCATTCAAGTCCAGTGTTTTTACCAACATGCTTTTTTTAGTGATAACGCTTCATTAAAGGTAGATGCTACACCTCGTAAGTCACTACATTTCTTCTCTTTCAAATAACACCACGTAATACACGTTCAGTGTAAAAACATCGTAAGTCCGGGGTTTACGTAGTTGTTGCTCAAATTACTCGTCGGCGGGTCACTGCAAAAGCGTTTTTATTGGAAAAATATTTTGATGCCTGGTAAATAAGCACGTGGGTTCTTCTACCACTGATTGCTGATTATTCAAGAAAGTTGAACGAGTAAATTTATGTATTGTTTCATGATAATAATAATAATAATAATAATAATGTTTATTGGTCCAATTACAAAGCTTTCGTATAAATAATAACGGCAGTGTCCAATAAACATAATATACCCAAAAAAGTGTACACTTAGGCTTGGGTTTTAACCGACGTTGAGTTATATTAATACAACAAATTTTCTTTAAGTATACTAGTCAAATGCATAAATTTGCATCATTTTATGATCAAATAACATATAGGTTTTTAGTGTCAACAAACTTATGGATTTGTAGCCTTGGTTGCTTTAGGATCCATGATTTTAATTCAATTTTAAAACGCTTTTTACATTTTATATGTTTGAGGTTTGCAGGAATAACATTATAAAATTTTTACCATAGAAAATAGAATGATCTTTGGCTGATAGTTTTATTAAGTCTAGGAATTAGTGCAGAGGTTTCCTTGAATCGTGTTTGATGGTTGTGGCTGATAGAAAGTAACAATTTTGGATTTTTTGTTAAATATATTATTGTGATAAAAATACATTTGCCGGCAGTCGAAAAGCTGAGATTCATTGTAAAGATTTTGTGAGGGATAACATTTATTTTTGTTCAACATACCTTCCAAAATCCACTTCTGCGTAATTTTAATCTTTTTATAATAATTATTCATGACTCCCCCCATGCTAAGATTCCGTGAGATAGTAATGATTGAACAAGGGCATGATATATTATGTGTAGATATTTTTCGCTTAAAAAACTGCTGAAGTATGTGACTTTCGGAATAAGGTATCTTAATTTTCTTACTAAATTTTCAATATGTTTCTTCCATCTTAGATGGTTATCTATGAATACCCCTAGGTATTTGAAATTATCAGCCGATTGTATGTTTCTACAGCTATTCAACGTTTTAATTTGGAGTTGATTAAAATTTGGGGAAGATCTGTTGTCGCAAGAAAATGTAATAAAGTATGTCTTGTTGAAATTGACTGTTAAAATCCTTTCCGTGAAAAAATTTGTAACCTTTTGAAAATCTAATACAAAAGGGGTCATTAATATATGAATTAAACAGCACTGGTCCTAATACGCATCTAACAATCATATTTTCACTCAGTGCACTGTTGATGTTCACATATTGTATCCTGTTTTCTAAATAACTTTTCATGAGTTGATAAGTGACTCCACGAAATCTTAAATTTTGCAAGATTCTTAATAATTTTTGATGTGACGCTTTGTTTAGGTCTACAAAAGGCATGCTGTTGACTTATTATTATCAACGTACTTGTAAATTTTGGTTGTTAACTGAATAAGTGCATATTGACTTGATTTTGCTTCCTGGAATCCATATTGCTCTTCAGATATGAGGCTGTATTTTGCAATAAATTCTGAAAAGCGTTTCTTAAGAATTTTTTCGAAAATTTTTGAAAAGTTTGTCAATACTGAAATTGGGCGATAATTACAAGGTTTCTGTTTATCTCTAGATTTAAATACAGGTTTTATTATTGCCTTGTTTAATTGGGTCGTTTAGATGTAAAACGAGAAATTTGTCTTTCCGATGTGTTCGATTTGGCCTGGTTTCCGGTATGTACGTTAAAAATATTAAAATATGCAAAATTAAAACACGAGGCATGTTGATTAGACAATATTTAAGTGCAATTATAAGCGATAAGAAACATGATTAATATGATTCTGTTTGTTAATTTATATACCTCTAACCCTATTTCCTGCTAAAACAACGTAAGTCCATAACAGTCTTTCGGGTTCTTTCCATTATTATTATCAATGAATTATTGGAAATTTCAATCTATTAAAACTCAAACACTACATTATGCCAAAAAAAAAAATAATACAACTGGTTTATTTGTCAGAGAGAGAGATACAGTATAGAGAGAGTACAGTATTTATTATGAGACTTACGGCGTTTTTGCACTGATCGATTCAAATACGATTTCAGGCGTTGTGTCGTCTACTGGTTCACGTAACCAAAAAATACAAGCAGCTAGAAAACTATCTTTGTGGTAAAACAAATACTGATAAATTGTCCTCCCAACAAGAAATTTACCGTTGTCGTAAGAAAAACTCGCCCAATATTTAGCTGAAGCTATGAAACGCAGTCCAAGTAACACACAGATAAACTAATTATGCTGGCATTATTGTGAATGTACCTGAAAACGGCCACCGTGGTGGTCGAAACATCGTTCAATAAACAAGAGTTCAAACATATGTGGTTTGACTCGGCCATGATTATGAAAACCACAGGATAAGATTCAAGATTTACATTATGAAATGGAGGTTTCCTCTCAAGCTCCAATCGCAGTATTTTTAAACATCCTATTTTCGATCTCAACAAAAAAAGTTGAACGAAAAACGGCTGCTGAGGTTTTTGTAAAGAGCCGAAACATTCTATGCAGAATTGGTGATTATATGACTCATAAACTCATGTCAATTTCACTATTTGGAAACACATCTACCTACACACTGAATATAGAACTTTTTCCAAACGAATTTAGCAAGCGCCAATATCAGCCGAAATAAATCAAAACTCGCAAACCTTACCTTCCATCAGCAGTTGCCGATAGTATTCCTCCGATTTCTGAATCTCGTTGTGACTACTCGACTTCTGCAGATCATTCTTTCCTCTCGAGTCCCTCGTTGGTTTGGACGGCGGTTTTTTCTTATCCTTTTTGTCCCTGTTCAAACTTTCCATTCCATTCAGTATGAACTGCTCGTCCTGAACAACTTCAATATCTCTCCTTTCAAGTAATTCGCTGATATTTTGCTCGATTTGCCTTAAAGGTGATATTTCCGTGCTAGGTTGGGAACTTTCTGCTTCTTCTTCCTCTTCTACTGTTACGTCTAGTTCACGTCTGGGTGTTAAGTCTTCAGCATTCAGGCTTGGGAGGGAGACCTGTAACCAGACACAATGCATCAGAATATCATTCAAATGATATTTAGATAAAACGATTTTCTTAAACTCGTATTGAAAAGATTGATCCACATGGATTACGCTGCTGATTTAAGATACAATTTATCCATACATGTTTTGTAATCAATGAAGCTGGAACATTGAACAATGTAATGACCATACAAGTACATATACTCATATATGTTGTACATGTCACGATATACATATTTATACACATTCTTTAAAAATTGCTAAATACAAAACTTAAAAAATATCTCATATAAATATAAGATGCACACATTTAAAAAATACCAGTGGTAAAGGAGTATCTATTAGACACGACCGCTAAGGACTCAACTTATGTGCTATATATATATATATATATATATATATATATATATATATAAAGTGTATTGTCCGCAAATATTTGAATTTTGCAGTGTTCTAAAATGTCAGAGATATCATTTATATAAATAATAAATAGTAACGGCCCTAATTTACTCCCCTGTGGCACTCCTACTGATATATTTTGAACACTTGACATAATATCTCCAACTTTAGTTTTTTGATTTCTATTTATTAAATAATTTTGTAAAATGTGCAATACTGATCCTTTAAAGCCATAGTGACGCAATTTCATTAACAATTTTTCCCTATCTATAGTCTCAAATGCCCTCTTGAAGTCTAAAAATATTGTTACAATATATTCTTTCTCATCTATATTTCTTCTCCAGTCTTCCACCACCATTTGGATTGCCATTTCTGTGGAACATTTTTTTCTAAATCCAGCTTGATTTTTTATCAAAATTTTGGTTTCTTCAATAAATCCTATGATTTGTTCGTATATTATCCCATCGAACAGCTTCTCGACATCGGGCAAGACATTAGTCGGTCGCATATTTGTATACAGCTGAGAATTTTGAACTTTTGGCACAGGAGTAATTTAATTTTGATGGGAATTCACCATGCACTAAACAATGATTTACCAATAATAATTTATCTCCACTTATATTGAAACAATCATTTAGAATATTTTTTGAGAGATCCTCACTTGGATTATTATCAGATTTCAATTTTGAGATAGCCGTTCTTAAGATTGTTGATGTGAATGTCCTAAATTGCTTCATTCATGAATTCTGACATACTTGTAATGGACATAAGTTTGGATCACCGTCATCAATCGTCTTCACTATTTGATTTACACTTTCTATAAAATAAGTGTTCTTTCTTTCTGCTATCATTAATTTGTCGGTCAATACCCCATCTTCTAAACGTATTTTAGATAATTCAGTATTTCCTGGTTTAATGTAATTTTCAGTTACATGATAGATGAAAAGTTAAGTATGTGTGGAAAAATAACGTATACTTACTACTCTAACTATAGGCGACAAAGGTGTGTTCAGATCCATCGCTGTTTCCATTTTTGGAGAGTCATGAATCAGTCCTTCCCTAACTAATGATTTAATATTATCAAAGGTTGTGCTATGTCTCTTGATTTCATTGTTGTGCTTGCTCGGAGTACTCGATCTGCTACTCGATAGATCTACGCTTAGTCTGCAAAAATATAAAAGTGAAAATATGTGTGAATATTAAAGAAATAATGAAGTGATGCCTGATAACAATTAAAATGATATAAATCCGTACGTCATACCTTGATGGTGAGCTGCTCAAGTCTTGACTCATCAACCTAGAGTTATTGAGATCCAAGCTGTATCTTGATTTCGGTGAATTTAATTCTTGACTCAACCTCGAGTGAGGTGTACTTAAATCTATGCTATACCTGGAACATCCATATAATTAGACGGGGTTTTGAAAAGTGAGATTAAACGTGGAAATAATAATTTTTTGACCTTCCTTCTGCAAACGCCTCAAAATGGCGATCGTTTTGAAGCTAAACTATTATGAAAAATAGAGCATATTTTCAACATGAACAATTTCAGAGCTCAGTGTGCATATTTTTTGAATAAAGATAAAAAATAGCGAGTTATAAATATTTTGAAAGCTAGCATGTCACATGCATAAACTTATCCATCACAGCTCTTGTTTCATTATGTACCTTTTCGTCCATAACCAGTTGATATTTTCATTGGATGCAACTAGTTATATTTTAAGGATAAAAAATTCTACCCAAATTTTTCAAGCTCGATAATAACAATTTAATAATTACCTGGAGTTAGGAGTTTGCAACTCTCGACTCAACCTTGAGTTCATATCACTACTGAAGCGGGTGTTTGAGATGCTTAGTTCTGAGCTAAGTCGGGAGTTAAGTGAGGAATTTGACGTTAAAGAGCTACCCAGGTTTCCTATATTCTTACGATCCTTTTTACCTGAAAAAAAATATAATTTCCGATAAAATTCACATTGTTATTTAAATACTGAAGCGTTGGATATGTTTATTGTTGGATTTTTTAAACCTATTTTGCTATATTTTGCAACAAATATAGGGTGTGATAGTGAACTACACAAAACTGAATATAGCCGAACAAAAAATATATTACTCCATAAGTACTTGAAATATACATGGATAAATCACCAGGATGTTTATTTCAATGTTATCTAGCGTGGATTAACTGAAGACCCCTTATACATACTTGAGTTTAAAGACGTTAATTCATATAATATTTTGACATTTGGATTAGGGATTTTATAGTCTTTTCACTGGCTTCCTTAGAAAGATGGTTATGTTTTTCGCGCATGGATATGTGTGTAGATAATAGTTCGAATTTATGGTCTACATGCCAAACGGCATGATAACATATGAGGTGAATCTAAATTTTTTTTGACAGTGCGAGTGACACTCATAAAGTCAAAATGGTAGATTTTGATAAGAAAATTCAATATTGAAATTCGGTGGTGTTTCGATAATTGTTTTGCCACTGTGCATGATACTGGGTATACTAAGATTTTATAAAGTCTAATGGCGGATTTTGAGTGAAATGTCTACAGCCCAAATAGTTTGACGGCTTTTGACATTTGATGTGTCCTTAGATTTGTCTTGATAGTACAATTGTACAATTAAATAATCATCCTTTTCAATTACTGTAGTCAAGTTGTTTGTATTTAAAAAAATCTACTTATTAAAACACCGAGATATGGACTTGCTTACAGTAAAACCCAATTCAGACATTTAAAACAACCCTAGCAGATGCAGTATTTATAACAAGTTAGTTTATTACAAATTACTGTAAATTGTATGTCATTGAATATAACTTTTCTATTTTCAAATTGATGATTGTGGCAGATCTGTCATTTTGCACGAAGGACAAACAATAGGCTAGTTGTCACTTTTTCTAAGTAGGTCTTGAATATGTTGTTATATTGAACTAAAAAATTAATACTTCATTTTTTCAGACTTAAAAGACCATACCGAACTTCAATTTAAAAATATATTTCTGTTACAGAGGCGAAACGCTCTCTGCCATGTTTGGCTCATATTAATGTGTTCTGATGTCATACCATTTGTAAACAGCAGCTGACAGCAACATAACCTCTCAAAATTTTACACATACCAACATAACTTATACTAGTTTACATGAAAAATATAGTAATTATCGTTATTGTATCGTCCCAGAATGTAAAACGCATCGATAAAGATCCCAGGAAAGCTGTGGATAAGGTTGCCAGGGAAATAAATATACGCAACACTGTGTATTGCTTATGTTCGGAACATTTTACACTTTACTGTGCAGATTTTATCGTCTCGTACAAGTTGTCAAGGTTATGACGCATGAGTTTAGTTTTGAATAACTTCTGAAATACACTGAACTTACATAGAAGTCTTGCTGATTCTCAGCTCAGTAGAAGAGAAGTCTAGGTTGAAGGCAAAAAATTACCAACCATCAATGTGTCAATTTTTGACAGATTTGTGCTTTCTGCTTTTACAAATCCAACATCCATGATTGTTTTTTCAATAAAATGAGAGAACGATCCCTTTTTACGTTGATTAGGAGTTTTTAAGGATATTTAAAGAAGAAAACTTTAGTCCATGCGTGGCATACGCATAACGTTTTTTTATTTACAATTTCTATGACGTCTACTTACGGCCAATAATGTTTTCACCATTTCGTATTAAAAATGATTTTTTTTTCAAATTGGACCTACATATATATCCCACTTACACTTTCAAAATTGAAATTGACATATTTCGTTTTCCTAAGGCAAACACTGTAAGAAATAATCATTTATTCATTGAAACTAGATATGAGTCAACTACTCTGTTCTGAGCTGAGGTATAACTTAATATGTTTAACTGACAGTCTATCAGTTGAGGTATCGGAATGAGTAAGTAAAACCATGGAAACTAGATAAGGTGTGACATTAAATCTATTGAATTAGTATTGATATATCAAAAAGCTATCAATAAAATTTAGGCAAATATTATCCGGGATGATTTTATCAATAAATGATGTCTATGATTAAATATATTTTTATATTCTCGTTACATATTTAATTCTATAACTTAATAAAACATATGAACATCAATCACACTTATTGGGGACTGGTGGAATCAATCATGCACAACCATTTACCGTGGCATTATTTAGTAATAGAGTACTAGTAATAGTAATAATGTAAATAAAAAACACATAAAAAAGTGCTTGCACTTGAATTTATAAGCACATACACTTAAACAGATAAATGAAAAAATTATAAACGTGAAAGTACCAGGAAACTTATTCAGGCTATTATGATAAATTTTGTTTTACCAATGCAATAATACACACTTGTGAAAATAATGACGTAAGCGTTGCTTCAAATTCAATCGAATCGAGCTTCAGCAACTTGATAAGCCTTTTTTGAAGCATCATCGATACTGGTTTCAAATACGATAAACGACTTTTCAAAGAACTTACCTTTACCTCTTCTAATAATATAAGTACTATTTCCAGACAAGTTGGCTGAGTTCAGCTCAGGCGGTAACATGATGTGGTCATCAGAATCCGAGAACGGTGACGTAACTTCATCTTCAGTGGTACATGGAGGAGGATCAGGCCAATCATCCAGCTCTTTCAGTCGGTTCGGAATAGAACTCGTGCTGGAGTAAGACCCTGATTTCCTTCTCCGCCTGCCAATCACTTTCGTACTGCCTGGAACAACTTTTGAAGATTAGTGATAACCTGTTATTAGGAAAATATCAAACAGCAACATATGAAACAAGACTCGAAAAATTCAAGCTTCAGCAGAGAGAAGACTTCGTGGGGGCCTCATAGAAACGCAGTAGACATTTTGTTGATGCTGAGAAGTTTTCCATAAACGTCACGAAATTAGAGTTTTAAAAATCCGTAACGTTATCGTGTACCGAGCCCAGGATACGTTGTTCAGATAGCCCAACTTGGGGGCCATGTATCTCGGAAAGTACCCGCGAAACCATGGCTAATTGTTCTACGTGCTGAAATGTTCAACCAGTCCAGTTTTATTGAATTTATATGTTAACGATGTTGCAGAATCAACACCAAATAGCAGTTACTCGATTTTTGCAGATGATCTTAAATTATTCAGAGCAGTGAGAAATATCCACGATGCGGAAATCTTACAGATCTGATAAATCTTACTCGGTGGTGTAGTACTAATAAGGAAAACATCAATTTGAATAATTGCTACCAGATAAGCTTCAGCCGTAGTTCAAATTCTCTCATGCTTGAATATAAACATGAAAAACCGGTAGGGATTTGGGTATAACTTTTGATACAAAATTAACTTATAAAACACAGAGTAGAGAAATTACTTCTAAATTGGGATATATTTCTAGATCTGCCAAACATTTTTTCTGTAGAATTTTTTCAAATTCTATACTGATTTTGGAGTATATCACAGTGATATGGTGACCATATTTAATAGGCGACATTAACAGACCAAGGCAAATTTTCAAAACAGGCAGATATTAAAATGGGTCGTAGTCAGAGCGCTTCAGAACAAATTAGTACGTTGAACATATACTCATTGAAACACCACAGGAAAATTTTTGATTTATGTTTAAAATAGTTAATGGTGTCATAGTATGCCCAGTGTGCTTGGAAAAATAAATGTTAACGTTAATGAACGATGAACTTGCAATACAGAACTGTTTACGATTTCACATCATTCTACCAATTATGGTATGAATGAACCAGTTACTAGACAGTTACTGACAACGCCGCTGGAAGCTACAATATAGATATTTACAGTAGCATTATTTAGCACATCATTAAGCACATGAAAAATGTTTCTATTTAACATAAGTTTGCTAAGCTTTAAATATAGGTAGGTTGGGTATCACATGAATCTTTAGTTATTCTTTAGTTTAATAATTACATCGCATTTGTATATGATAAAGCAACTATCTAGAAGTACTTTATAGAAAAAATAACAAAGTAAAACCTTATTTGTACATGCAGTAAAGACCACAGACGAAAAAGTTCGTTTTTTTAAAACTTAAGAAAAAAATTCAATATCTCAGAAACGGTGACACTATATAGGCAAAGCCTACCTTCTCCTTAAGTTTGTCGTGGTACTTATTGGACACCCTGTATAAAGCTATTGTAATCTGTCACATGGTATGTAATGGGTAACCGTAAATAAATAGATAAATAAATAAACATACTGCTAGAGTGGGCAAATCACCAAAAGGTTCGGTATTTTATCATTGATTTGTTGAGCTGCTAACACTGCAGCCTTTATAGATGACACACATTGTTACTGAAACCCACTCACCCGAGCAGATGAATTGCAGATGGATATCGAAACAATGGTAAATTGGAAAACATCCTGGCAGATGCCACTTAAACTACCCTTCCTATAACCCTCAGCATTCATACTATGTTGGTCAAAATGAGGTCAGCACTGTAACTAATCATAGGGATTTGGGACTAATGATGACAAGTGATTTGAAGTAGGAGATGCATATAATAATAATAATAATAATAATAATAATAGCCTTTATTTAACCTGGCGGGTGTCAGCTAAAAGCTGTTTTTCATACCAAAATTATAATACAAAATCTGGGAGACATAAACATTGTTGAGTAACAATAATGAAAAATCTATTATGCCAAGAATAGGCATTTTTTTTTAATTTAAAGAAAAAATCATATATACAGTTAACAGTTACACCATTACATAAGTTAAAAACTAAATAATATAAGGAATTATGACATGAATTTGATACATAGTTAAAAAGGCCAACACTCAAATTTTCATATTTTCTTGAGCATTTACGTATTCAAAAATCGAAAACAGGTAAACTCATTTATCTATATCAAGTTTCTGAAATCATTGGAAACGCTTATCCGAAAGCATTTACACAGAAAATATCACAAAAGGATTTTCCGTGACTGGCATTTATCCCTTTAATCCAGATGTATTTGGAAATGATGAATTCTTGAGTGCCTTTGTTACATAGCGGCCAAATCCTAACACAGAGATTGGAGATAATCACGAAAGAACGAGCTAGAAGCAGAATACCTTAAAAAAAGATAAGAAAATCCAAGGTTAAAGTTGAAAAAGTGACCAAAAAAGTTTTTCCTGAAGAAAGTTCCGAAGACGAGATATCTGAAATACCAACGGCAGATTCAAGCAGTGAAGATGACAATTACTTTCAAAAACTTTTAGAAGATTCGAACAATGAAATGGAGATCGAAGATGTTGAAAATACTGCATTATTAGGAGATTTTGTACTTGTGGAACTGAAAGGCAAAAAATCTGTTCGGCATTATATAGCAGAAATTAAAAGAATGTAGAGGAAGACACATTTGAAATTGTGTATCCAAAAGTTATGAATAGTAACAAGTTTGTGAAGACCGAAGAAATATATGAAATCTGCACCAGTCAGCAAGTTGACATTTTTTCGTTTTTTTGAAAATATATAGGTTTTCACGTAATAACCCTGCGAAGCCGCATACACGAGATTAATTTACCAAAACCGTCAGGGATGGTCTTTACATAGACGCAGAAACTACTTCAGGGGTTTTCAAGCGCTACGTCACTGAAAGAGCACAGAAAACATAAATTTTAAAACAGAAATTAAAGTTACCTGGCGTTAAAAGAGCCTCATCATCAAGAGGTACCTCCCATGCGATGCTGGCCCTTTTGTTACACACTGGCGGTGGAGGAGGTGGCAGTGCCTCTTCCAAAGAGTCATCGGAAAAATGCTCATCGTCCGCTAGTTCACTCAGCGGGCGCAGAACACCTGGACCGTCGTCCAAGTCGCTAGAAAGATTGTCTTCGCTACCATGTCTGAAACATCAAGGAAAATATTATAAAACCTTCATTACGTATAGGGTATACACTTTTCCAATTTTGTTATGGCTCTAGCGTAATCATAGGTTGGTTACTATGCATGGATTGTCGTTCAGCCATGAGGCTTAGTGTAAACCTACACATAGTCTAATCATATTAGACGAAAATACCCCTGGTTTTATTGCTGCAAGTTGTTCAAAGGGGTATTCAAAACATGGACGCATAAAATGGGTACGCCAATTTTTGTGGGAATACTTTTTATTCGACAACAAAGGAAAAACGTCTTTTTGGATTCAATCGAAAGTGTTGACAGGAACGAAAAAACTTTTCATATAAGATTTTTAGGTATTTATGAGACCTACAAAATGAGACCACACCTAAAAACATCCGACTAATAGCAAAAAAGTTATGGCTGAAAACCGAGGCAAACTGCAGGTTCTGGCACTTGTTGGTAATGCGACGATGGTTTCTCGCAGATATTTGAAATTCTTCAAATTCGTAGGACTCGTACTTCTAAATAACTACAACAAAATTGGAGTAGATTGGTCAAGTAGTTTTTGAGAATTTCCAATTGTTTATCGCAAAACACCTGTTTTCCGGCCATCACTACTAATTTATTGAGCAATATAATATACAATGTTAGTTCAAAAGGTATTTTATAGCAAAATACACTAGTTTACCTTGCCGATATAGATCGCAAACCATTCCGGAAGATAAATGTTATGTTTATGCGAAAAACAAAGGCTACGTTTTTTTTCTTCTAAACAAATTCAAAGATTTCGTATTTGTGAGTAATTGAACAAATGCACTACGATATTCGAAAAACATACGTCACTATACACATTTTAAAATAAATCGCATGTATATCATCTTTTGGACTATGTTGTGTCGATGTGACATGCACAGAACGATGCATGACCAGCAAAATTACATGATGCGTTACTAGGTTTTGCACGTACGGAATAGTGGGCGGAAGCCTTTAACCTTCAAAAGAGTTGAACAGGTACTCACCTCTTGACCTCGCGATGCCTCTCTGCAGCCGTAGTGGGCACCGTTCTAGGAGGCAGCCTTGTTGGTGATGTGATAGGGAATCCAGGTCCAGTGGCGTGCTGTTGGAACGGTAAACTACCGAAACGGTACCCTGGAGGTGGGGGTGGGGCACGTAAAACGAATTCGCCGCCACTGTTGTTGGACCATCCGTAAGGGCGTTGGTGCTTGGTTTTTGGCTGCAAGAAAAATATATCAACAACAATTACTATGGATTATTACTCATAAACAAATACATTTGGGAAAATCTATTTATGGCATGTTATACATGACATTTATAATATATTGGCAATTATACAGGGTGTCCCAATTTTGACCTACACATCAAAGTTGTGATTATTTAAATGGAATGCCTCAAATTTTATAGCATATTTGGAAAAACCAATTCAAAAGAAGAAAATTGATAAAACATACTATGGGGTTTTGGTAATTAGCTACTGAGTTGTAAGGTGTTTTGTCCAGAAAAACCGTTCACTTCGGCAACCCCTCAATCCGCCATTTTGAAATTTGGAGTGCTGAGTTTTGTATAAAAAAAAACTTGCACATCTCAGCTTTTATCTTATTTGTTACTTTTTGCTCATACAGGGTGGTCAAAAACGCGAATTGTACTTTTTCTCAGAAATTTCAAATGGATCACCCTGTATATTGGTGCAAGTTTGGATTCAATTTTTCATAAGCTTTTTTTGGTATAAGGTTTGATTCAGATAAAATCACTAGATTTTGAGTTAGCTTTTAATAGAACACACCAAACTCACGGAAAAAAATCACATCATCCATGGAAACAAAAGACAAACAGTGGGCTAGTTCCTAACTCGCGCAAATATATAGGGTGATGCATTTGAAATTTTTGAGAAAAACTGCAATTAGCGTTTTTGACCACAATTAAAACTCGAAAAAGTAACAAATAAGATGAGGTGTGTAAGGTTTTTCTTGATACAAAATTCAGCACTCCAAATTTCAAAATGGCGGATTAAGGGGTTGCCGAAGTGGATGGTTTTTCTGGACAAAACACCTTACATCTCAGTAGCTTATTACCAAAACCCCATAGTATGCTATATCAATCTTCTTCTTTTGAATTGAGTTATCCAAATATGCAATAAAATTTGAGGCATTCCATTTGAAAAATCACAACTTGGATATGTAGGTCGAAATTGGGACACCTTGTATAATGGCCAATAATTTAGAAATGTGCCCTCAAATATCGTGTATAGCATCCCATAAATAGATTTTTCCAAAATGTATTTGTTTATGAGTGATATACCGTCCACACATGATGGACCACCTTGTATAAGATGTCCTCAAAGTTGGGACTTTCCTTTACACGCTGTATATATCTTGGAATAATAAACAGTTTTTTCTAGCAACATATTCACCAAAGTCTGAAGATTACCGATATATCCATATTATTTTAAAATATGCTGAGTGTCTTCGAAATGCTACCGAGGCCTCGCGACTGCATGCAGATCGCTTTTTAAGATACCTAAGTTTTCTTCTTTTGTTTGGGGCGAAACGTTTAGCGCATAAAACTGAGGTGATCACGGTTGACAAATTATGTGTGCGGATTTAGCAATATGTTGCATTCATTTGGGAAATAAAGTCAAAGTCTCTATTCTTTGGACAATACTATAAATTTCTTTTCGATGAACGTAGTTGTTTATGAAAAGGAAAGTCCTAACTGTCAGGGCACCCTGTATGTTAGCCTAGGGGAGTGTGTATGTAATGGAAAATTTTTCAAATTACAGAAGGTTTCAAATACCGGGAATAGAGCTTAAGCTCCGAATGTAATCAACCAATTGCTCAAAAAATGGATGAGTTTCAGAAACAATAAAAGATACAAATGTTTGACACGTTATGGTATAACTCAAATATTCTTTAGATATGCTTACAACAATCTACAACTTCGAAAACATTTTTGTATTTATACATACTACTTCGAAGTTGAGTCATTTATTTTAACAGTGAGTAGATCTGATCAAAATAAATGTTTTTTTCCTTTACCATTTTTCTGGTAAAATTAAAGTAACAAAGTTATAGCCCTTTGGAAGTTTGAGTACCGCCCTGTCTCAATAATAATATTATGTGCTCGTGTTTGGCAACAACGGATATAATCCGCCTTATCGGTTCATCGCATCGGAAACAAAAAAGCGAAAGAATTTGGAACGATGTTTTTACAATTATTTTATTCAGTTGTATACAGTCAGTGTCAGTCGGTAACGCGTGAGTGAATAGTGGTGTCTGTTGCGTGGCTCAAACGAAATCAAAAATGGCACATGTTAACGAAAATGCTGAACTTGTGGACATGATTCTTATTTACGTGGCATCACGGATTTATGCGGATTTGTTTCCCAATCGAGTGCAACCAGCCCCTCGTGCCTTTGTTAATGTAGTACAAAGGGCTCGTGAATCAGGTGACTTAAGACCTCACAGGGGACGGCATGCCGGTGCTCCAAGACCGCACGATCAAATACAGGTCCGCACTGAAATACTTGTCGGGAGGATACTTTATAAGACAAGGTAACATTTTTTTTTAATTATTTTTTATTTTTACACACATATTTTGGTTTATCTTCCTTCTACAATCATTATCTGAAAATTAATGACTCAACTTCAAAGTATAATACGCTCCTTTTTCATTTTTCGTATTTTTGCTGAAACCTCGTTTTATCGTAGAATCTACTAATAAAAAAAAAAAATAAACAATACTTAGTGAACATGTGGGTTGACCGATGGTAAAGCTGGGGCAGACCGCAGAATATCTTAAATACAGATTGTAAAATGATTCATAAAATGTTCAAGTCCTTACCAGGGTTGTTTGGGTGGCAGTGTGCGTTTGATCTTGAACGGCCATTCCGTTGAAATTTTGAAAATTGTGTGGAGGTGGGATGCATTCAGAACGAGGCGACAATTGAGTCAAAGGAAACGACCTGTTTTGTCCATATCGACCAATGTTTTGCAACTTCGGTCTATGCGAAGGTGATACCCTGAAAAAGAAAAAGTGTTAGTAGGCTGTGAATTTTTAGACATCGCTTCATTATTTTTCATACGATTTAATGCGCATTGCCAGGTCAATTCTTGAGATCAAACGTGGAAGAAACATTAAAGACATAACAGTAACATAGATGTCGTCAACATTCAATATAGTTTGTTTGGTACCTAACAAAGCATAAATACAGAGCAGAACAATAAATTATGGTACTTTCTTTGGAAAGTACAGAGAAAACTGAACCTGGCGCATAGCTTTTCATCTCCCGCACCATCAAGCAGTTGAAGATTTTTGTACGAGGTCTGAAAGCTAAGTGATGAGACTGGCAACGTAGCGTTCGATATGGCAACACTGGAGACGCCGAACAGGAACATGTGATCCGCCACCAGTACACGTTTGAACTCGTCAGAGTGAAAAATGAGTGACATTAATTTCGACCTACGATGTGAGATCAGGTTTTGTTTCAGATCTAGGCACAGTGCAACGCTGGCATCAGCAAGCAAGCCTACGAAGATAGTGTTTAGTCAAGTATTTTCGGTAGTTTAAGGCATTTTCAGGAGGGAGATAGTCCATTGAAGATGAAACACGAAGCGGAAGGGTTTCATCGTCAAGAGCCGATGAAAATATCGACAGAATCCGGGATCTTGCGCGGACAGATCGACGGTTGACAGAATGAAAAAAAATTTGGTATTGCATCAGGATAATGCTCCTTGTCACGAGTAAAAACATTCCCTTGTCTCCTCAGCCTCCTGACGAGGCCTTTTTCATCTTCCCGAAGTTGTAAAGTCACCTCACGAGAACTTATTTTAGGACAGTCCAAAACATTTAAACGGCTGTAACCGATCAGCTGAAGGCTACTCCAGTTTTGGAATTCCAGAACTGCTAAGAGGAGTGGAAGAACCGTCTCCAGCGCTGTGTGGCTTCAGAAGGAAGTTATTACGAAGGGACAATATAAAATTATATTTGTTTGGATAAAAAAAAACTTGCCTGCTCGGCAATCTTCGGATTCTCTGTTCTCTGTCTGGATGAAATATTATTAGCTTCTAGGTTACTTCTATGGTAAGGATAGGGCTTTGACAAATACGTCAAAGAAAAAAGTTGTGAGAAAAGCCCCAAGCTTGTTTTTGTACGAGCTCCTTCCCACTTTAGTTGGCCCAACTATTGAAATCTTAGTTTTTTTCTTATCAAACACAAATAATAAAAATGTAGCAGGGTTTTATATGTTTAAAATATTAACAATGAATATTTTGATAATATATAGTAGAAAACACCAACTTTATCACTTCCTAATCATATTTTCAGCATAAAAATAACACATGTTGCAATTAAAGCATGGCAACCTATTTTCATTTCAATGCAAAATAAGTCTATAATGCATAGGTGGCTGCGAAAAATAAAAGCCATGACAATTGTTTTTATTAATCACAGCTGTCAGAATTCGTTTAAAATAGTTTTGGGTAGTTAAGGTTTTCAAAATGGGTAGAGGAAAGGTTATTAGTGAGAAAATTCGATTACTGATAATTAAATTTTTTAGTTCTGGGAAATCAAACTCAGAAATTGCAACTTTGTTAGACTTATCGCGGTACAGTGTGAGAAATATTGTTAGAAGATATAACGTATCTGGTTCAGTTAATATTAAGCCACAATTTGTGAAAAAAAGTAGTATCACTAATGCCGACCGAAGAGCATTAAGAAGAATAATCGTGAAAAACAGGCGTGCCAATTATTTACAATTAAGTGCTCTGTGGAGTGACCCTGTTGGAAGGAGAATTTCGAGGTCCACAACTCATAGAGAGGGGGATTTAGCACTTGCAAGGTAAGTTTTCTTATAAAAAAAGTGAAGTAAAAACCCTAAAGTTGCACAACTTGTTTATAGGCCAAAGAAAAGCCACTATTAACTCGACTGCAAAAGAAAAATCGGCTTAGATGGGCTAAAGAACATAGACAATGGACACCTGAACAATGGTGTGCAATACAATGGAGTGATGAGGCCCGATTCGAAGTTTGTGTTGGTGACAGTCGCAGTAGAGTTATTCGCAAAAAAAATTAAGCATTCCATGTTGACTGTCTGAAGAGAAAAGTGAAATTTCCAGCATCCATTATGGTCTGGGGCAGTATGTCATCAAAAGGAGTAGGAAAACTTCATTTTATTGATGGAAATGTGGATACAAATAAATATTTGGCAATTTAAGAAGAATCGCTTTTACCAGTGATGGAAGAATGTTTGACATCCGGCCAAGAGCGTGTGTTTCAGCAAGATGGGACAGCGTGCCATACCTCAAAAAAGGCTATAAAATGGATGGAAGAAAATAATGTAGCACTTTTGAAATGGATTTCTAGCAGTCCAGATCTGTCACCTATTGAAACTTTGTGGCACGAGATAAAAAAGGTTCTACGACAACATCCTGCTTGTACAATCACCGAACTGAGACAAAAGCTTCAAGAAATATGGGATTGTTTTACACCAAATTTTTGCCAAAACTTGGTTAACACTATGCCGCAAAGAATTTCAGCCGTAATAAAAAATAAAGGTGATGTTACCCAATGGTAATCTTTCAATTGTTGCTTTGTTAACTTCGCGCATTTATTCGCACATTGTTTATTTTGTTCAAATGTTCTATTAGTTATAGGTCTAAGTGATTTCAAATATGTATTTTTTTCGACTAGAGTGTATCTAAAATGTTTTTGAGAAAACAAATTGTTAAGGAAGTAAATAGTTTAGTTTATAAAGGCATATTTTGGTATAAATCTTGAAGTGGGCCAACTGAACTGGAAAGGGGCTCGTATATCTTCGAGCTTGACACATTTGCTTGTAGTCGGGAGATCTTTTTGTTTTTTTTTTGTGAGGAGTCAAAGTATTTGAAAAATCCAGTTTGTTTTTCAGCGATTTTAGCCTTCGAAAGTTTCATGAAATCTGTCAATTTGGCTCTGCATCAATAACGCTTCAGCAAATCACATTAATATCGCTCAAAAATATCGTAAAAATTAATCTATCACTGATCAACAGCCAAAAAATATCCTAAATAAAATCAACAAAATATTACTATTTTTAATGTGCTAAAACCGGAATGAAACTTATTTTTTCAATATTAGTTCAAGTTTTAGAGATACGGTAATTATATGTGTTCCTGCTGTGACAGTGTTAATATACTGTAATTCACAAGAATGCACGTGCTACATTTTTATATTCGGCAAGGAAAGATGATGTAATCGGCATGATTGTGTTACGTTATACATACGTGTACATTATATTGATTTATATTAGCCATTTTTTCCTCAGTTGGCTGACAGCGTTCATGCAAGATGTCTCGAAAGTGTGTAAACAATCCAGATCAGTTTTGTTACGTGTGTGGCGATGTGACTTTTGCGTCTCAGAGATGGTCTATTACTCCACTAATAACAAAGGCATATCAGCTTTATTTCGGTTGTAAACTAGGTGATCAAGACAAACAGGGGGCACCCCACATCTGCTGTAATACATGTGCTTCAAGTCTGAGGAGCTGGTTAAATGGCAAAAAACGGTCTATGCGCTTTGCTGTCCCAATGGTTTGGAGAGAGCCTACAAATCATATTAATGATTGTTACTTTTGCATGGTACCTTGTGTTGGACAAGCCACAGGTATGTCCAAGAAAAAAAAATCGGTTATTAACTATCCAGACATACCATCTGCGATGAGACTTGTGCCTCACAGTGACGAAAATCCTATTCCAAAACCCCCAGAATCCTACACTTGCGAATCAGAAAACGAATCAGATCATGGCGATCGAGTGATTCGTCAGGAAGAAGATATGCCATCAACGTTAAGAGATCCTGATTTTATACCGAGCACGTCATGCCACCAACCGCACAAAATAACACAGTCAGAATTAAATGATCTTGTAAGAGATTTAGAACTTCCAAAATGTAAGGCAGAGTTACTTGGATCAAGACTGCAGCAGTGGAACTTGTTAGAAGACGATGTTTCGGTAGGTGTTTTTCGTAAACGCCACAAAGACTTAGAACCATTTTTCAATATGGAGAATAACTTGGTTTTCTGTAGTAACATTAACGGCTTACTGGCGGCTTTAAATATAAACTATAACCCAGAAGAATGGAGATTGTTTATAGACAGTTCAACATTGAGTTTAAAGGCAGTGTTATTGCATATTGGACATATTTTACCATCTCTTCCTGTAGGGTATGCAGTTCACATGAAAGAATCATATGACAATATGAAGTACCTATTGACATGCATAAAATACGATGAGCACCAATGGCATATTTGTGGCGATTTGAAAGTTGTTGCACTTTTACTTGGGCTGCAGCTAGGCTACACAAAGTTTTGCTGTTTTTTTGTGTGAATAGGACAGTCGGGCAAAGGCACTTCATTACACCAGACAAAACTGGCCTGTTCGTCAATTCGTAGAGCCAGGTCAAAAAAATGTACAGCAATGCCATTAGTAGATTCGAAAAAAAATTATTACCACCACTGCATATCAAGTTGGGCCTAATGAAAAACTTTGTCAAGGCATTAGATAGAGATGGGTCAGCTTTTCAATACCTGCGTCAGAAATTTCCAAGACTAAGTGAGGCAAAGGTTAAAGAAGGTATTTTTGTTGGGCCACAGATTCGAAATATTTTGAAAGATACACAGTTTGAAAACACTTTAACAGGTATTGAAAAAACTGCTTGGAATGATTTCCTTCTGGTGGTCACTAAGTTCTTGGGAAATAGAAAAGCTAACAACTATAAAACCCTTGTCAAAAATATGCTCTCATCGTATCAAAAGATGGGCTGTAATATGTCTCTTAAGATACATTTCCTACACTCACACCTGGACTTTTTTCCTGACAATTCCGGAGCCGTAAGTGATGAGCACGGCGAACGTGTTCATCAGGATATTTCAACAATGGAAAGAAGGTACCAGGGAAAGTGGAATCCTTCCATGCTTGCAGACTACTGTTGGACTCTTGGTAGAGATGCTCCAGAAACGATCCATAAAAGAACATCAAAAATAC